GGCTTCAAAAGGGTAACTAGGGATAATATAATATAAAAGTTTGGTTAGAAAGGCTCAAGCGATCCAAACATGGCCAAAATCATCTCCCTAATGTTGCATGACTTAGGATTTTGCCTCAGGAGATATTGAAGCAAGTTCTAGAGAATGATAATGCTATCATGAAACTCACAAGAAAGAATATGCAATAGGCTAAAAATCACACAAAGGGTCAATAAGTTTTCGCTTAAAATCCACATATAATTCTCTAAATAAGAGATAATTAATAGTACTAATATTGGTTATTTGTATAAAATAAACTTGAGAACAATCATGTAAGAATCTGATTAACCATATCAAGCAACTGAAATTTCACATAAGAAGAACTAATTCAAATAAGTTTGTGACCTAAAAGAGAGTAAATTATTATCATTGACTTATGGAAGGTCAAACTCAAAGGAAACGACTCAAGAAAAATCAAAATTAAAAAAAAAATTTACATTTTTTTTATGGATTTTTATGACATTAAGACTTAAATAGAAGAACGGAAAAATAGAACAAAGAACTACAAAGAAATATGCTAACATAAATTGCAAACAATGAGTTGCAAATATGACAGTACCACAGCCAGTTTTGACCTTCAGACAAAAGATTTGATCATAACTTTTGAAAGAAAAATCCGATTTTCATGGTCTTTATATGGCTGGAAAGAAGACAAAAATTTGAAGAACACAACTCAGACAAAATGTTCAAATTCATTTCCAATTAAAACAGTTTTACGCTAACATAGACAGCATGAACACTAAACAAAAACAGAACACAGTAACAGAGATTGAGATCCTCCCCAAACTTGAATCAAACGTTCTCTATGTGTAGAACACAGAAAACAAAACAAACAACACAATTAAAGAGAAGGTGGAAAAACTTCCCTAGATTTTTCATAGGGGTATGAATGAGCAACGTTGAAGCGTGATGCGAATCGCCAATAATGAATTCCCCCAAACTTGAATCTTGGATAACCCGTGTTCTTGCAAAACAAGAAAGAAATTAAAAACTTATTCCGAAAAACAAAATGAAAAACTACGCAAACAAATGAAAAATTTAGAAAACTTAGGTTGCCTCCCAAGAAGCGTTGCTTTATAGTCATGAGCTAGACTATGCCGAAATTAAATGAAGGATGGTGGATCATTGAAATGAGGAACCACTCCATGCATATTCCTCTTGTTCCTTTTCTTCCACCTTGTAGCTTTGAAATTTGGTGTTGATATAAGGCAATGAGGCACTGCATATTTTTGGTTCTTCAATTTCAAAGCTTGAGACTTCTTTCTCTTCTTCATTGTTTTTCATTGTCTCTTCCACCATATCTTGGCCATCGGAATGGAAGTGAGTTGAGCATGCATAACTTCAATTTTTGGTTCAATTCCAATCTCTCTTCCATAATTTGAGCAATGGATTTCAAAGGGATCGTTAAAATTCAGCACCTTGTCAACAATTTGAATTTCTTCAGAAAGTGACTTCTCGTTGGTAGTGATTTGACTAGCCGAATCACGCAGATGGTCTTCCAACATTGAATACTCTTCCTTTTCTTCATCTACAGCTAATTCACTCAATTCGTTGTTGAAATCCTCCTCACTTCTCAATGTGGTGTAGGCACTATCTTTTTCATGGAATGCATCTCGCTTAATCGGATTAGATTTGGATTCATTTGGAAATATTTCGATGTCTCCTTCACTCAATATCATAGCAATTTGACCAACTTGCTTCTCCAAATTTGTGATTGCTTGTGCATTTGCCTCCTCCCCTTGTTGGATAGTTTGATATCCTTGAGTGAGAATTTGATATCCTTGAGTGAGAATTTGTAAAAATTCAGTGGTTGTTTGTTTATTTTTATTTTTTGTCTTCTATTTTCTTATTTTTATTTTTATTTTCTGAAACAAAACAGAAAAATAAGTGAACACTAAGAAAAAAAATAAACCAAAGAAGTCCTATTCCTCTAATAACTCACGAAGTACAACACAACCAAAACTAAAAAACTCCAATTAGCTAAAGGACTTCAACTAAGAATTGAATAGGACAGAAAAGAAGACTACCGGTTATATAACAGAAAATAGAAAGAAAGAAAAATAAAATCACTACACAGATAAGAATAGAAAACGAAAAATAAAATTTAGTAAAGCGCAATCAACAAGCCAAATTGGGATTAAGGGGCAAACCCCATGCAATGGCGCTAAAAAGTTGATGTATATTTAAACTAACCTAAATAATAGATTAATTTAAACCAAATTAAATTTGCAAGCGCACGAATCAATTGTAGAAATATATGCAAATACGAGGTCGATCCCACAATGATTGCTTTAACACCAATTTAACCGATTAATTATGCTAGACTTAATTAAACAAACAAAGGATAGATTGAATCGAATAATTGATTAAGACTATAATTAACAAGAAAAAGAAAAGACAATTAATTAAAATCACACACGACACAAGAAAACCTAAGGTTATGAATTCACCAATAAGAATCCTATTTACTTTTACTAGAGCCAACTACTGTCCAATTACAATGCCAATGTTAAAGGTTGCACTTTCTAAGGTATGAATTAATTCATGGTCAGGCATCAACTCTTATATCTCTACATGATAATTATATCATATTGGTTAGGCATACAATTAAACACATAAAAACCCATTAAGCGTAGAAGAATCATGTCAACCAAGTAGTACTAGTTTGATATTGGTCATCCTCACTAGTTTGTCTACTCTTCTTAATCTTAGTTCCAATAAACCTAATTGATTGGTCATCCTCATAGATTTATCTAAATATCTAGATGCAAAATTCCTAAAAGTGATCAGTCATTAGAAATCTGAATCTAGAATAAAATACCCACAAAGATTAAGAATATAACATGGCATATAATCGGATAATAATTAACAACGTACTTCATAAATATTCATGTCATGGCTTCATCATAAACCTTAGAAAATAACTTAGTTACACATGGAAATAAAAATAAAAGAAAGACAGAACCCGGAGTCCATGGAAAAGCACGTCCCTAAGCCCTTCTTCACAAATTACAAAGATGGTGAATGGTGTAATGGTGTGGGTGATATGGGTTATGCGGGGCTTTTTTAGAGAGAGCTTAGGGTACCTTATTTATACTTGAAAAACCCTAAAAGGTCGGGGAGAAACTCTCCTAAATAAAACAAACTCCTAAACAATTTGTTGAGAGTTGTCCCACATCGGTGAAAGACAAGGTTTGCTATGTGCTTATATGGTCTTGGGCTACTCCCCATATTGCCAATTGGTTTTATGGTGGAACCTCAATTTCATCATGGTATCAAAGCGGGTTGTCCTCGTGTGAAGCCAAAAGGCCACACGTGTTCCACGTCACACAGTTGTTGTCCACGTGTAGGCTTGAAAATTTGCAACATGTGCTGGGGCGTGTTGAGAGTTGTCCCACATCGGTGAGGGACAATGTTTGCTATGTGCTTATATGGTCGTCTTGGGCTACTCCCCATATTGCCAATTGATTTTTTTGTGGAACCTCAATTTCATCACAAGTAATGACACAAACTAGGAAAGAATCCTTCTTGGCTTGGGAAACACGTAATCTGTCTTGCACTCTTATCTTTTCAGGCATATATCGCACGCCACTAGGAAAAATCAAGAAAGCCTCCAAATCTTTATTCTCCCATAACTGCGCAGTTCTGACGGGAAACAACTTATGCGGGATTGATTTGTAAAACTGGGATGAATGACTACATGGAAAATTATGAAATTCGGACGCAACAAGCTTCAGCCTCGTAGCTTCCTTCTCCAATTGGCCTTGCATCAAAACTCGTCCGGAAAGTTGAATTATCATCAAAAATGTCATGCGTGCGCAAAATGGCTGAAACTGATAAAAGAAAAGTAACAAACCTCTTTTGTAATCAATTCCTTAACAAAAATTAGGGATAATTACTATAAAAATATGGTAAATAATGCACCTATCACAAACACCTCAGGCAGCCTATTTTGGATCAACAGTGCCCAGGCTTTCCATAGCTTATGTGCAACCCTATGCGCTTCACATGCAAGGAACCCTTCGTAGTTCAAGCAACAGTGCACATAAGTTGTGCGTGCTGGGTCTCTTTCGCTGCCTTCAAATCTTCTTTTAGGGCTTCCACAAATTCTTGATCTTCGTTAAGAATGCCGACAAAAATCTCATCGAAGGTATGCACAAGCGCGTCGGATTTCTCAGTTTAATCGCGAGGTGATGCACCAGTGCGCTTTCTAAAGAATCACGAGCCACAATTGAAGTAAAATAATAGCTAGACAAGATCGGTTATTGTTTAACAACCGTACAGGTTTCCGCTCTCATTTTCGACCATATATAATCTCTCTTCGCATCTTCTTTGTCATGAGTAGGTTTCTGGAACAAGATCTGTTGAACAGGGTCTGTAACAATTCAAGTACTTCGTAACGGAATTGTTGAGACAGGAATGATCTGAGACTGAAATATGGCTTCGACTGGGTTGGGACGGCGTTCTTGAATTGCCGGCAGAGGCGGCCAATATCTTGTATGCTTTGCAAGGATTCTCGAGGTTAACGGTTGCAAAGACAGATGAACTAACACAAGTAGCAGACACCGAAGAGGGAAAGGAGAGAGGCATTGTAACATGAGATGTCTCATGAAACTATACTTGGAATGGAAATCGAGATCAAAAATATAGGACAGAGAAACGGTTTACGGGTGAACCCGGGAAAAGGAATCTTTGGAATTGGATGTAAAAGCCATGTGTATTCTTCAACTCCAAATGGCATTTTACCTCTCACTACTAATACAAGGAAGTAGGAAAAAGAAAGTACAAAAACAACGAAAACAGTTTGGCCTGTAAGTTTGGATAAGGGTGACCAAATTTGTCCAAATTTTCCAGGAGCAACTGCAAAAATGGCATATAAACAACAGAATTTCTCCGCAGTTTACCAAGAAAGTGAAATGACGCCGAGAACATGTAGAATAACAAAAATGATGCACAAGGCGGAATTAACATGGTAATGACATTGCATGTTTAGGAAGTTCATACAATTCTAACATGACTACCTCAAAGAGAAGAAATATGTAACTACAAGGATATGAAAGACAAACTCTTTATCTCTATTCTTCAACTGATATCCAAGGCCAGAAGTTTACGATTTTCTCAATATAATGGGTATGCAGATCCTTCTGTTTAACTTCAACTGATATACAAAACAGAAGAATTTCAGGAATGGGTCAAATGCATTCGATAAATGTAATCCTGCAGTCATTCACCCCCTACAAAATGAACGTGAACCATTGTATTCTCTTTCGGATTATCGGATACCTGTTCTTGGAAGCTTGACCTGAAACAGGTCATGTGAACCATTAATACCCCCCAAAGCTTGACCTGAAACAGATTACGTGAAAACAATGAATAAAAAAACCATCCGCCATTAGAAAAAAAAAAAAACGTGAATGAAAATGCATGACGAAAACACATGAAAGAGACATTCATCAACTTATATGCACCAGCATTACCAATTAAAGCACTTAATCTCTGTAAAACAAATTTTACTCTAACATGAAAAATGATAATAGTAGTACAAGGAATCAAAACTTCAGAGGCCGAGAAAAATTTACCTAAGCTACTGCACCGCTTCTTCACAATTTAACCTCCACATCAACTCCAGCAGGAAGGTCAAGTTGCATCAAGGAATCTATTGTTTGTGCAGTTGGGTAAAGAATATCAATGAGGCGTTGGTGGGTACGAATCTCAAAATGAAACCTAGCATCCTTGTGGACATGGGGTGACTTGAGAACACAGTAGATTCGCTTTTTGGTCGGTAAGGGTACAGGGCCCATTGTTTTTGCATTCGTGTTCCTTGCAGCATCCATGATCTGCTTGCAGGAATCTTCTATCAAAGGCACAAAGTAAGACCTCAATTTAATTCTGATTTTCTGCTTGGGTGAGGCCTGAAAACAGAAGCACCTTTACATAATCAGAATAAATGTGAAGCTGTTAAAAAAGCTAAGGAACAATTTAATTTATAAAAAGTGGGTTTAAATTAGACCTTTCTTTTATATTTTTAACAATTAAAATATGATTAGACAAATCAGAACAGCACTGTCAGAAGTCTTCTAGCTGGTCCTCACCACTTAGTTACTCTCTGCCACTCCAAACTGTCATACATGAGTAAAAATCCTAGCCAAATAGCCCCAAGCCATGATCGAATCGACATGCTCATCCTATCTGTAGGGAATCGAATATGGGGATCTGTCTGCGACTAGCCAAAATTCTTAGCATGTTGGAGGCTGTTGAAGGTTAAGAATAAGTAAATGTCCCTCCAACATCTAACTGTTTTTTTACTTTTAAGTTAAACAGAAGCATCTGCATACCCATTATACTACGCAATTACTCATTACTTAAAGAGGTCCATCCCCGGGTCAGGATTAACTCAGAGTTATAAGAAATACGACAAAGCTCTACTACAAGAAGATTTTGGAGAAGATCATTGCATATACAGACCTGAAGCGTAACCAATACTCAAAAGCTCAACCCGGAACTAATGCACAAACTAGGCGACACTAGACAACAAGAAAAGCATAGACCACTCTAACAAAAGATCAAGGTAAAATCACATGATTGGGTGTTTGACATATATTACCAGCAGTATGATTTTTCTTTACTAAGCATTTCACAAAGCAGTATTTCGAGAACATTAGCTCTCCAAATATTCTTTTATGGAAGCACAGTTGGGCTGATATCCCTCAATTACATACTAAAGGATTTAGCACCAAGCTTCTTACTTGACATTGATACACATATTCGAAAAGACTATCCAATAGGAGAAGATTCAAACATGAATTTAAATATTACACCGAAACTCCACTAAGGAAAGGAATATGTTCCCACCTCAGTTAACTTGGAAATCCTTAATACGCCGTACTTAAATTAAATTGCCAAAAACTAATCTAAATAAAATAGAAAGATAGAGCAATCAATTTCCCCAGTTCAAATTATAAGAATATTGAAATTCCACCTTATCTCCATCTCCACCAATACTGAGTGATGAAGTGCTTGGGGCCTCAGAACTTCCAACCTAAAACACACACAGATAATCAACAATTAAGAAATGGTAAATAAATTCACACAAAGATAAAAATAACTCACTACTCCAAGAAAACCCAACATTTTAAAACAGAAAAGAAAATAAATTAGGGAAAATTATTCTCCTTTCCCCACATATTGTCAGCAACCAAACAAAGCATTATCAAATTGCAAATTAAAAGAACACGAAAATAAGAAGAAATGGGCAAGAAAATTAAACCTCAAGGGTTTCTGGAGGTGGGACTAGGGTTTCTGGGGACTCGAGGACTTCGGGAGCAGCATGAACCCTAGTGGATGACTGTGAGGGTCTTGAAGCTCTGAGCTTTAAGGCACCGTTGGCCGAGGGCAAAGAGAAAGAAGAGAGCTTTGGCTTGGAAGTCGGAGATGCAGAAGATTTGGAGAGCGGAAGAGAAGGGATTAGAATTGTAGACATTGAAGAAACTGCCATTGAAATGGAACTTGGTTACTCTCTCTTTCTCCCTCCGTGGAAAGAAATGCCCTGTTTTGCTCACTCTGCCAGTCTGCCCGTAGATTGTACAATTATCCTCTTTTTTTTTTTTTTAATTTTAATTTTGGTAATGTAGCTCGGGCTGGCTATAGATTGGAAGTCCAAGCCCACTTGTATGGCAAGTGGGATTGGGCCGCATACTCAAATATATCATTGGTGTTTTGTGAAATAAACTACATAAATAACTAAGAAATTGGAGAAACAATGGATTTTCTACTTTTATTAGCTTACCACCTTAGGTGGCTGGAAAATGGTTGTCCGCAAACCCGCTGACTGAAGGTGGGAGGAGTGTCGGTCACCATTAGTTCGGTGAGGAGTTAAAAAAACGAGGAGATAGCGGATAAAGGGTATGGGTGTGCACAACGACAGAGAGTGAGAGAGAGAGGGAGAGAGTTGGGAGGTGGCTATGACACCCTAAAATGATTTTGCTCCAAAACCTACCCATTCATTTATTATTATACATATATATATATATATATATATATATATATATATATATATACATATTATATTTTGCACAACGATATTATCTACACTAAGAGGGTAGGGGAGTGAGCTAAGTCTCGTAATAGACTAGCAATAATATGATTCAAATTTGTCTTTAGCGAGAATCAAATCTAAGACCTCTCACTTATAAGTGAAGACGAATATCACTAGATTGCAGTACTAAGTGGGTATTTTGGTAATGTTAGCAATGCGAAATAAGAATCTCTGTCCAGAGATTAAAAAAATGGTTGTACAAAAAACGACTGTGATTAATTTGAAGAATGTTAAGGTTCCACCATAAAATTAATTGTTAATATGAGGAATAACCCAACTAATTATAAGTGCATGCATAGCTCTTTCTTTTTTCTATGTGGAATTCATATCTCTACATACCCCTCACGTGTGGCGAATTTCAAACCTAACGTGAGAACAACGCATTTCAGATGACGTGGAGCAAGTGTGACTGTTGAGCTTCATATATAGGATAACTTTGCTTTTATATCATTAAAAAGTTTAAAGTTCGAGCAAGATGATCGAGCAAGACATCCATAACGGTCCAACTATCTTATATAAATTCTACTCAAAACATGGGGGCTAAAGAAAATATTGAAAATTCAATATTCCACAACCAAAAAGGCAGATGTGTATATAACTCAAAGTAAATTTCCTGTAACAACTGTATAAATAGAGATATCACAATATTACAAGCACGGTTGAGATAGCAGAGCTCAATTCTCTCATGTATGCTCTCTTGCTCTCTTTGTAACTCACTCATATTCCATCAAGTATCCAAGGAGTCCCTGATCAGTACTTGTGACCCTTGTTAGTTGGTCTGCTGTGTAGTTCTATGTTCAAGACTTATTGTCTAGTTGTTATATTAATCATCTAACTATAGAACAATGAAATTTGGTATCAAAGTCAAGTTTATTATTATAATATCAAAATATATCGACGACGGAAGCCATTAACATTTATGATATATTGCACTCCAATGACCGGCCCTAGAGGGGTATTTTTTTGTGATAGTCTTATAAAGTCATCTTCAATTAGTGTTTCGGTGTTAAAAAAGATGAAATTCTCTCATCTTCTCTAAGTTAAAATTGGCCACCATAGTGAGAGAATGCTAGCACCTACCTCCCTCTAGTGTTATCTCATAATCATTTTGGTCGGGCAAGAATTTCGCTGGGAAAGGTCCTTGGCTCGAGCACACAGCTCCCTGTGGAGTTGACACTTTGGTTGACTGACGGGTTCTCGCTCGCTTGTCGAGCTGCAAGAAGAGGACATAGTTAGTTCTGAAAAGTGCTTTGTCGAGCCTTAGATGTAGGCCGCGAGGCTCACAATCCCAACTAACTAAGTGCTGAGGCGTGCCACTTCCATCTCTGTATGGCAGATGTAGAATGAGTGTATTTAAGCTGATTACTTGTGCCCCAAGTTATTCTAATTTCTCATCATCAAGGGATTGTCATGGATGGGTTAAGTCCACATTAAGTTCTTTTCTATGCCTTGAGATCAAGGACTTTTGTTTATTTTGTATGCTTTTAAAGGGGAGGGGTTCATATCTGATCAAGGCATCAGTTTCATTTACTTTTACGATAGTAAAAGTGCTAATTGAACTAGATCTGAGAGTTAATAGAACTTTGGATCATCAGAAGATCGAAAATGACTTGCATATATACAGAGGGATACATTATAACACCATATCTATTAATGGAAAAGCAAAAACAAAGAGAGTTGGGCAAGATTTCACCTTGTCGAGCAAGGTTAAAGAGTCTTGCAATCTCTTTTCTTTGCAGTTACAAAGGGTTGAGTAATAAAAGGGGATGAGGGGTAAACGAGTTTACACAAGAAAATCGATACTACAACATTTGGAGAAGGTAGCAGAGCTTTTACATAGACAAAAGATGTCTTTCTATAGGAAATCTAAGGCTGAAAGGGTGCAAAATCTGGACAAAAGGCAACTTTCTGAGTATTTTCTTGACTGAGAGATAAGTTGTATGTTTGTTTGTTTGATTGGTTGAGTGTCCTTGTCTCTGGGCCTTCTTTCTCGTTTTATAAACGATTAACCCAATTGTGTTCTTTCTGTTCTTGCTCGAAAGTAACTGAAGGGTAATGAATAATCAGCATTTTTACATGTTCTGCCATCCAAAAGTACTTTTGGAACGGAAGTAGGTGGATTTCTATCAGTTGTCACTTCTCTTATAAGCACCTAGTCTTTGCATTTAATCGGGGCCGTCATTTTGTCTTGAGATGGATGACCTGGGCTTGACTCTAGGCTTCAGGCAGACCTTTTTTATTGAGCTTATTTGGGCTTCCTTCCTTTGAAGCCCAAAGTTTAAATATTAACCCAAACAGTGCCCCCTTCAATCGTTGTTAAGCCTACAACCCAAGGCGCTAATGATGATTAAACGACCTTGTCACGCCTTCTCTCAATACGCGCACCATTTAATGTAGTTAGTGTTTATCAGAGTCTTTTACACTAACCCACGATATTTGTCCTTAATCATCAGCTCCTTATATAATTTTCTTAATCCTTTAAACATTTTTAAACCCCCAAATTCTCTGAACTTCCTGAACTTCCCAGAGTCCTCAAAACCTTTCTTGTTTGTCTCTAGCTTTCTTTTCAAATCTTCTCATTTCCTTCCAAGTTTAATTAATGGCCCCAAAAGCTGTTCAAAACTGATCTTCTCATGAATCTGGTGGGGGTATTGCCACTATGCGTCGTTTACTCAATGCCCTTCATTGCCCTCGGGCCGGCCTGCATTATGAATTTTTCTTTGAAGAAGGTGAGGTGCACTTATTGGGATCTGCATGGACTTCTCGGGTTCCAAGTATAGTAACTAACATGCCCAGGGATAATTGGTTCACCCCTAACCCATTCACGGCGAAGTCAAGCATTTCTTCATCTAAGTGGTCACAATATCGTCGTGGTCTTCCTCTGATGAACGACCCGGCTTGGGTTCAGTGGATAAGAGAACTTGAGCCAATTTTTAAAAAGAAGTGGATGAACAATGGCATTTATGAGTTGATAATGCTTTCGAAGACTACCATGGTCGCTAAACCCGAATTACTCACCACCGTTCTTCTTTTATAGAATTCGGGCACCAACACCTTCGATTTCAAGATGGGCCTTATGTCCTCGACAATTCTAGATATTGCACAAGTCTTTGAGCTATGACCTTGGGGCAGAATCGTGGATGTGACTCATGATTGAGCCCTCCCTTCTCATCCGATTGCTAAGAGTTTGAGTACAAATTCGGGCACCATGACTCCAATATAACTCTGCAACCTTCAAAAGTTATGGGATATCTTTCAAAGGTTTTATCTCTTTTGTGAAGAACAACTTTGGTGCAGGTTCTTCTAATGCCAACTTCGATCAAGAGCACATGTACTTCCTCCTATATTGGCTTAACAAGCATGCATTCCCCAACAAATATAAGGGAGTAAAGGTCAAATGGATCCCCTTAGTAGAAGTTCTTCATAATTTTGATGATGTCGCTATGGGCCCTTTCTTTCTTTCTCATTTCCACCATCTTCTTTTCGAGATGACTTGGGTGAACCATTTGAGACCAACCTTAACGGCCCAATCTGGATGATCCAACTATAGTTACAATGGTACTTTCCAGAGTTTCTGGCAGCTAACCTGGAGTTCCCCAAAGGTGTGGCCCCTACCCGAATCCTGGCCAAAGCTCCTCCCACAAATTATTATATGTTTGCCTACTTCTATTTCTTCAGAGTTTGCCAGACTCAGGCAGATTTGGAGTGGGGCGCGTCTACTCTCAGGAGATATCCCTATTTTCTTGATCAAGCCTTCCAAAATGCCTTTGGAGAAGATGCTAATCCTGTTTGTAGAGAAAAATTTATCAGTTGTATTCAACCACGAGACTTGGCCTAGGGAGTTCGCAGTGATCGCTATGATCACGAGCTGGAGGTTTATCATCCCAACTTCTACAATAGGCAATTAGGCTTTAGGCAGGCCATTCCAGTCCTATTTTTTTGTTCTGTCCATTGTGCTACTTCTTATTGCCTCTACTCCCCTCATGAAGACACCTTCCGAGCTGCCCGACGTAGCCTTGAGGTTATAAGTAAAGTTGCCCGCAAGCCTTTGGCCCTTAATTTTGAATGCACCTCGACTTTCTCCACTTAGTGGGAGGCTAAATGGATCAAGAAGTACGGAGGGGACTTACAGGAGGCTCACGATCATCTCTTCAACCAACTCTCTCTTGGATCATATCCTGGCTCAGGCGAGCTCGAGAATTGGAAGGAAATGGTCTATCAAAAGAACCAACTTCTTTTGATCGGTACTTCCTGTTCTTTCGATCCATATTCTATGAAAATCTTGAAGGAAAAATTTTGTCCTAGCTAAGAACATGTAAGAACATTTGAATACATATGCAAACTAATAACTCTTTAAAGTAGGCATGCATTCAAAAACAATTCATAAAACCCATGACTTTCAAAGCCTAGTATATGGTGAACCATAAGACTCTTTAACAAAATTAAAGAGAATAAGAATTTAGAGATTCTTTACCCTTGAAGCTCATCC